GCTGGAGAGGGTGATGAAACGGTGTGCACTTGCAGTGGTGGCTCCCCGAAAAGGGCAGCCATCCATCAGCACTTCAGCAGTCACCACGCCCAACACCAGCATCAGCGCATGGCAAGAAAGCATTATTAACAACGCACTTAGATGGCGTAAAAATCCAGAAGAGAGCAGGCTGGTTTGCAAAGCAGAAAAGGACCCCCTGAACTCGAGTAGTAAAGCAGAGCCACCTGCACCCACGTCCTCCTGTGCTTTACGAGAGGAAAGCAGTTGCAGGCATAATGATGGTTGGAACACGCTTTAATCTTCCAAAACGGTGTGCGAGGACACTTCCAGGACAGTGCAGGATTGCAGCTGCAATCATACTAGAGATCTCATCATACTACCATGCAATATCCATCAACGAGTGGAGTGGATGAACAGTGGCTTTTGATACTTTGTTCAGATTGCAATTGCAAGACACGTAGGAGTAGTATTGAAATCGAGAGGGCTTGGCATGAGCTACACTAGGCCAAAAAAGCAGGGACAAGGGCAGCTGCAGCCATTTGCTCTCCCCCATGCAAAACACAAGCACATTGATGGGAGCTTTCGGTCAGCCTGTTGCCTGTTCGTTGGTCGGTTTCTGGGCTGATAAGTCTAGCCGGTGCTGGTTTATTATGAGAGAAAAATATTATATCATGGCTGATAAACCCTGGCTAAAACTAACAAGCGAACAGGCTGAGTATCTCTTGAGCGGTAACATGGTTAGTAGTAAGTGTGGCAGAATCGCCCGAAATAACACACCTTCGGAGGCGCTCGTCTTCCACCAGACACTAAGCACCCCGAAAGCAAGCTATATCGGACAGTTCCGTCGAACACACCCTAAGGGAGAACTCGAACAATCCACGTTTTCCTCATGATCCAATAATAAAAACGAGTTTATAATTCTTAGTCCATTTCTTACAACAAGAGTTCTTAAAAATACATTATTACAATACCAAGTTCAGAGTGCGGAATTTAAACAGCGGAATTACAATAAACATCTAACGATAAGATAAAAGGATCTGTCTGTGCCCACCAGAAGAATCCTCCACACAACAGCTACTCGTCAAGCTGCACCTGCAACAGGGGTAAATAAACCCTAAGTACACAATGTACTCGTAAGACTTACCCGACTAGTAGGAATAATTTTCCGACTCCAAAGGATTTGATAAGCTTTATGGTTTGTTGGGTTTCCTTTTTGCAAAAAGCAATACTAGTAGTGAATCCATATGTATATGTTTTATTAGCAGTCATGATTAGTTCATTCGCTAACCATTTTATATAAGCACATGTTCTACTTTCAAGCAAGAGTTGAGCAATCAGATCCATTTCACCATCTTTTATCTTTCAGTTCTTACTACGGTGCTAGATCGTAGACAAGTCGTACCGTATTACACGGCGATTCACGAATCAATGTAATCCAGCTGGGTACCCCGAAACACACGCCCCGCTTGTACCCCAGGCACAAGCAAGACCAACCCACCACTCTCCTATCAAGGGGTCTAGGTCTCCGTCCAAACTTAGACTCCAAGCCCCCACTTCTGAGTTCCGGACTCAGTGTAGTGCTTAGACCTCCACCATCCCCGTCTCCAATCAGTCGGTCCGAAAAGAGCCAGAACCCACAACAAGAGAGTAACGAGCCTTCCCTGCTCCTATAAACAAGTATGTGCTCAGGACAATAAGTCTGTGCTTGACTAGAATCCAATGCAACGGTCGGTCTTTAACCGTCACGGACAAAGAAAATAGAGTAACCAAGCTATGCCCCGTTGTCCGCGGGACACAACCTCTTATATCCACAAATACCCGTACCATATCACTGTCCAGTCTTCATTTCTTTTCACCATTTTATCATGAGAGTGATAATAATAATCACCTATTATGAGTAACGGCAGGTTACTCACGCTACCGATAGCCTAAGCATAGCAGCTACTCGACCTATGCTAGTAGCACTCCTAGGTAGATATATCTATGCATGTAGTTTCAATATAAATCATGTAACATAAATGCATATCACATGTATATTCAGTGATCATTCAAAATAAGGGTTATGCACCGGGGCTTGCCTTAGGTAGGCGTGGTGTCAGCTCAGTCAGTCAGTGGCGGCTCTGGGACCTCCTCCTGCATGAGGATCTCCTTCTCGTACTCCTTGATCATCTCCTCGAACTTGTGGTCTCCGATGGTCACGATCTCCGTCAACTCGTTCTCTACATGCATGCGATGATGATGCAACACTTAGTATTTTAGCAACAGTAGCTCCTAAATTAAGAATGCCCATGGTAAACTACTAAGCCAGCTCTAATGACTAAGATACTAAGCTAACTATCATCTTCATCAAGTAAAGTGTTGGGTTCAACTAACAAATACCTAGCTTTACAAATGAAGGATATATCTTTATTTCTACTAATGATTTAATATATATTTGAAACAAAGAGCATTTAACTACCCTTATGTTAAGTCTATTCTAAAGCTACAAAAATGACAGTGAGCACATAATAATACCATGAAGCTACTGTAAAATTTTCAAAGCTACAGCTATCACCATATTGCCATAAACATTCCTATAATATTTAACCTAATAATATTAAGCACTCTCAAATGATTTAATAGTTTCTGGTATCAACAAATATATATATGAACTAAATATACCAACAGATAGAGCACAATTTTAGAAACTTACAAAATTAGTTGCATAATTTTTGGATACCTACATGATTTTATATGATTTACCAAAGTTCAGCTCAGAATTAAAATGAAAAGCTATTTCTATTATCCACAGGCGAGGCACGCCCCACGCGCGGAGGCGGCCCGCGGCAAGGAAGCCCCCGCGCGTCGGCACTCTTACAAAAACGCCCTAGACTATGAGCAAAACAACCCGCAGTCCACGTTACTATTTCTATAGACAACGACTTTACAATGAAACCCTCGGATCTTTCTCCTCTTTTCAACGGCAAGGTCCTCGTCCATCCCCGCACGCTCTGGCACGGTGGCGGCGGTGGCACTGGCGCTTACACCGGCCACACCGAACCCCCGCTGACCTATCTACGAGGCCGACGCTCACCTAGGATTCGACGCGAGACGATGGGTGGCGGTTGCACGAGCCGGGACGCCATAGAGGGACCTCTCCACGACGGCGGGCACCCTGCGGCAATGGCGACGGCGTTCAGGCGAGCCGCAGCAACAACAAGCGGTAGGGGTAGCGAGTGAGCAACGACCACTCACTAGTGACCTTACCGAGAAGCCGGCTCGGCCGGAGACGACCCAAGCGAGGTTGGCCACGTGCGCGCTGTGAGGTGAACGGCGGACCGCAAAGGCATGGCCGCGTCAGCGGCGAGGAGACAGCACTAGAGCTGCGACTAGTGTGCGCACGACGAAGAGGGAGCAAAGGCTAACTAGTGGTGCAGAGGAATTGGCATGGGATGAAGTGGTAGAGACTGGCCACGACGCGGGCGGCGACGGGCCTTAACGGCACGGCGGTGGGGAAAGCTCCAAAATTGGAGCTCGGCATGACGCGAGTCAAGGCGGGGTGGGGTCGACTGGAGAGGGGGCGTGAAGGCAAAGACACGAGCACGAGGAATTGATGAGAGGTGCTCGCTCTCTTGCTTCATCGTGACACGACGTGACAGTGGCAGAAAACAGAGGGAGAAAGAGGTAAAGAGAGAGACGACGCTACAGACAACGCGTGTGCGCGTCCGACCGGCGTGGCCCGCGCGCCGCAGTGCCATAAATGGCGTGGCGACGGTGGCTCGCCCACGTGCGCGCTGCAGAGGCAACACGCACAGGGGTGGGAAAAGCGCAGAGGTGCAGCGGATCAGCGCGGACGCGACGACGATGCGACGGCAGCGGCAGCGTCGCGACGTGAGTAGTGCCGGCAGTGTGGACGCGACGGCAGCGCAGCGCGGCCGCAGCGGCACCCAAACGGCAGTGCGAGGCAGAGCAGCAAGGCGCAGGGCCAGCGGCTTGCTGCGGCCGGCCTCAGCCAAGCCCAAGCAACGCGACGGCAGCGACAGCAACGCGGCACGGAGGCAAGACGGCCAGACGCAGGTGAGCGGCGGGCGCGGCGGCTCACGGTTGGCGGCTAGCGGCGTGCCCACCGCGGCCAAGCTGCGACAGCAGCAACCGACCACCGTGGCCACGTGCGCGTGCCCAGCGCACCTACGCCACGACGTCGGGGCAGGACGGCCTGGTGACTGCGCCCAACATAAGAAGACGGCCCGAGTTCATGTTATGCATGGATTTTAAAGCATTCGAGACATCTAAACCGTTGATCCAATCCCCAAACCACTTTCGCTATACCTTAGAGGGTATATTTGGCTACTAAAACAAGCCATAATACTACACTACTCCTTAACCCAATCTCTCACAAAAAATTACTAAACATAGCAATGTCTAGCAATCGACAGACTTGAAAATTTGTAAGTTTTAGAGCTGAATTTGATTTCCATTTACGATTTCTAAGCTAGTGAAAATATTAGCTAGTAATATCATTTTTTTACCACAAATATTTCACTGTCATCTACAAAGTTTGTACTTCAAACTTTATTTAAGTTTCACACACATGTTTTATAGCATTTTTGCTCAATAAAAATTGATTTTAAACCCTAAGTGATATAACATGACTATCAAATCAACTTTCGCTCCGCATTAATTGATCTACACACTTTATCACTTGCATTAACACATAAACATGATGCTCATAACATGTTTTAGTAAATGATTTACGGTGTAACACCGAGGGTGTTACAGTAAGGGCAGGTATGACAAAGCTGTATTGCAACAATCTTCAGCAACTTGAAGAATCAACGAGGGAGGGGAAAAAGAGAGATGAAAAAGATATATCTCAGGCACAGCAGAGCAAGGCATAGCATAGTGAACTCCACTAAGGTAAAACAACCAAGAGCTCACTCACAGTCACAGCCTGCCTCCGCTGTCACTACACATATTTCAACACCATCCGAAACGCTGCAAGTAATCACTTCTTCAAATCTTCAATCCCGCTCTTCTACCTTCGGCTCGATGTCCTTGAGGAGACCGACAATCTGCTGCATGGCCGGCCTCTTAGACGGCAGTTCCGCGGTGCACAGGTAGGCGATCCTCAGCGCCTCCTCCATCTGCCGCTCCAGCCCCGTGTCGCGGATCTTGGGGTCAATGATGCTTGGCCCATGGTTCGCCTTCACCATCGCCCTGGCCCAGTTCACCAGGCTCGCCTCCTTTTGGTCAGGGTACTCATCACCCAATGGTTTCTTGCCGGTGACCAGTTCGAACAACACGACACCAAAGCTGTAAACGTCGGACTTTGCGGTCGCCATGGCGTTCTCCGAGTTGGAGAACTCCGGCGGAGCATAGCCTGGGGAATGGTGTAATAGGTCATTGTCGGTGCTGGTTCCAGCGACCATTGACAACCCAAAATCAGCCAGCCTAGGCTCCATTGTGTAGTCAAAGTAGATGCTGCTTGCCTTCACATCCCGGTGGACAATCTGCGGGATACAGCCATGATGGAGGAATGCCAGTGCCCTCGCGGCACCTAATGCAATTTTGTGTCGAAACATCCATGTGGCGGTACCTTCCGGTGTGATGATTTCAGTTGCGACACCACCAATGTTGTCCTCCCATGTGTCGCCGCTCCAATCTTCAGTTGCCTGAACTCCTAGCGGTAAGTCATGCAGTAAGTTGTGCAAATTGCCATTTTCCATGTACTCGTAGATGGCAATCCTCTGGTCCCCTGCCAGACAGTAACCAGTCAAAGGAACCAAGTTAGGATGTTTGATCCGTCCCAGCCGCTCGAGTTCCCTTGCTGCATCTTGGTCTTCCATTACTGATCCATGGACCAACACCTTCACGGCGACTTGAATTCCGCCAGGAAGGAATCCCCTATACACTGGCCCAAATCTCCCTTCTGCCAGCAAGGTACCCCTGTCAAAGTTTGATGTTGCTGCCAAGAGGTCAGCAAATGTGAAGCTCAGCAAGGGCTTCTCAAATATGACAACTGGCACTGAAGTTGCAACCTTCACATCAGCAACCCACGTTGTTGAATCTGTCTGGAAAGAAAATGGCCCTGATACAGCAGGCTCCTCCTTGAACGACACCTGCTTAACCACAGGCAGCTCATCACACCTCTTCCTCCGCCTCCGACATGCCACTGCCAAGCAAAGCAAACCAAGAACAGAGAAGAACAAGGAGAGTACAACGGCGAGCATCAACTTTATCCCCTTACGCTTCCCTCTACTTTTCTTGATACTATCTGGATTCACAGCAATTGGGCAGTCATTCCTGGACCGAGCAAATGCAGCAGCAAACGCCTCAGGGGAGAGCTCAGAGGCACAAACAGTGAGATTGTTGTATGAGAAGTTGAACCGATCCATCGATGCCAACTTCTTCACCAATGCCACAGGTATCTCACCGGTGAGATTGTTCACTGACAAGTCCAGCACATGTAGACGAAGAGAACTCATGTCTGGGACTATCCCACTGATATTGTTCCGTGATAAATCGAGCACCTTCAATCCAACCAATCGGGATGAAAAATCAGCAGGAATCTGCCCATGCAGCCCAGTGCTAGACAGATTAACAAACTCCAGCCCAGATATCTCACCCATGGACACCAGCAAATTAGCATTGGACAACTGGTTGTGTGCAAGATTCACATGCCTCAGGTTCTGGAACCGGCCGGCCATGGTGAATTCTCCTGTAAGCTGATTTCCTGACAAGTCAAGGTACATCAACGCCGAGCCGGCATACCCACTGCTGAAATTCAACCCGGAGAAGCCGTTGTTGCTGAGGTCTATCACCCTCAACTGCTCCTGGAACGCCCCGATGATGGAGCCGCCGAGCCTGTTGCCCGACAGGTTGAGATGGGCTAGCGAGCGGAGCGGCGACAGGTCCGGCAAGCCCCCGTCGAGTGCATTGCCGGAGAGATCCATAGCCACGACGTTCACACAGCCGAAGACGATGGCGTTGGGGACCTGACCCTGGAACTGGTTGTGGCTGGCGTTGAGCACCTGCAGGCCGGTAATGGAGCCGAGCGCTTGCGGCAGCGCACCGGTGAAGGCGTTGTGGGAGACGTCGAGCACCTTGAGGCGCGCGAAGTTGCCGACGTTGTTGGGGAGCGCGCCGCGGATGGCGTTGCCGGAGAGGTTGAGCGCGCTCAGCGACGCGCCGAGCTCCCACAGGTCATTGGGCAGCGCGGTTAGGCGGTTGCGGCTGACGTCGAGGACCTGCAGACGCGCGAGCTTGCCGACGGTGTCCTCCGGGATGGCGCCGGCCAGGTCCATCCCGGCGGCCACGAACGCCACGACCCGCCCCTCGCCGTCGCAGGACACGCCGGGCCAGGAGCACACCCCGTTGGCGCCGGACGAGGACGGCGCGGCGCGGCCCAGCTTGGAGAAAAACCCGGAGACGAAGTAGGCGTCGGTGTTGGGCTCCTGAGCCACCGCCGGCGCCGCAGCGCAGGCCGCCGCGGCCACGGCAAAGAATAGGATTGCGGCGCTGCGGCGGCCGCCATGGCAGCAGACCATGGCAGTGGCAGGAGGGCGAAGGGGGAGGTCAAAGGAGAGATCTTGGCGCTACTGCGAGACTGCAGCCGCGTCGTTTGGTACTTTGGGTGATGGTGGCGGTGCTGGCGGTGGTGTCATGGGGGACAGCTCGGAGGTGGGCAAGTGGCTGGCTGACCTCCCGGCCTCTTCTAATTGTTGTTGGCTTCTGTGTGATGCGGCGTGCGTTTGGCACTGGCAGGTCCTGCTTGGTGTGAAAAGGGAAGCAGGAGGGAAGAAGCTTTGGGTAGTGGAAAGTGACGAAGGGGGAGGCCGGAGGAGAGGGAGGAGGCGAGCTCAGCTGAGCAGGAAGGAGGCCATAAATTTGGGGGTGGTGGATGGAGTAATTGGGGGAGTAAATTGTGGGGAGTCGGATTCAGCTCAGCCTCACCGGAGGCGGAGATTCAGGATTTCCATTTATACTGGGAAAGTTTTTCGTTTTGGATTTGGATCTTGGAAATACGGAAGTGCAGTAGCGTCCACGAGGGTCGTGGTCATGGTACTAGTATATTTCAATCAAGATACCTACCAGATTTTCGACATGAAACATGCAATTTTGAAATGACAACAGTTTTCTATTAGAGCATCTCAAAAATACCATATTTTGTCTTCCTAAAACATAATGTTTTTCGGCTCTTAAAAAAATATTGGGAGGAATAAAGACGGTCATCTCTAAAAGTTTCTAATATTCCACTTCTAAAAGATCAAAAAGGTCGTTCCCAAGAGTTATGATGTTTTGCATCAGAAATCTTAAATTTGTTTCTATATCCATTTAAGTCCTCTCACTAGATCTTTCTCTCTTGCGATTTTCTCACCTGCAACCCTGTATTTCCTTCTTTTCCTTTCCCACGTGGAGACCACGGGAGAAAATGACGGCACAAAAGGAGCCCGCGACGGGGAGGGTGGATACGCGTGACGGGCCATCCATGTATCTTTACGTGCATCGGGCTTTTTTTTCCTAAGTGCTAAAAGATTAGGAGGTCATTTTAGGAGTTATTGGAGATGGATTTTTTCCATTCTTCCTAAAAATAAGCAGCCTGTTCGCTTGGTCGTAAACGATCGTAAATTTCCAGCCAGAACAGTATTTTTCTCTCACACCAAACCAGCCAGCAGTAAATAATCCACGATCGTTTATGGCCTCCCGAACAGGATGAGGATTGGGAAGAATTATTAAGTACTCTTAGAGATGCTCTTAGATACTCTCTCCATTCTAATTCTAAGACATTTTTTAGATATTATTGTCATTTCTGTCTATACATTTGGACATATCTTATATCTAGATACATAAAACAATAATGTATCTAAAAAAGTTATCTTATCATTTAGAACAAAAAAAGTACTTCATTTTGATGGTATAAAACCAAATCATTTCGCACTGTGCATGTCGATTCATTGCTCACTTAATTATATCGATCATTGGGAGTGTCTTGTTAGGCTCACTCATCTAAAGGCTATACAAACATAAGGCCATTTTTAATGAAGAATTTCATGGCGTTATTTTCTTAGACTGCACATCATGTAATAACATAAAATAATATGGATGAAACATCAATCCTCAATGCATAGTTTCATCATTCTATAATTTTATAGATATTTAATTTCATGACTCCTATAGAGATTGAAATCATATCAGGAGAGTTTCATCTCAGTTCTTTTCTCTATTCTTAAAAAGGTTGTCATATAGTCAAAAACACCCTATTAAACGCAAATGAAACTCCCACCAAGACCGACATAACTTATACCTATGATTCTAACAATGTCTATATTAGACCTTGTTTAGTTCCTCCAAATTTCTAAAAAGTGCACTATGTAAAAATAAGATTTCTCGTCACATCAAACTTGCGATATATATATGGAGTACTAAATGTAGACGAAATCAAAAACTAATTGCATAGTTTGCTTTAACTTTGCGAGACGAATCTTTTGAGCCTAATTAGTCAATGTTTGGACAATAATTCACAAATACAAACAAAATGCTACAATAGAAAATCCCCAACTAAACACCTCTTAGATGATTTTGAGGACGTTAATAGCGTCTTTGGTTGGTTGGTTCTTGTCCAGCCAGTCTCGACACATGCAACTTTCTGGTGTTTGGTTGCCCGCGTCAGGGTCTGGACCTGACTCCCCAGGTACAAAAGGCACCTAGAGCCTAAGCTCTTGTTTAGTTCGCGAAAATTTTTCCTAAAAAGTGGTACAGTAGCTATCACATCGAATCTTACGATACGTGTATGGAGTATTAAATGTAGACGAAAAAAAACTAATTGCACAGTTTAGTTGGAAATCGCGATACGAACGTTTTGAACCTAATTAGTCCATGATTGAACACTAATTGCCAAATAAAAACGAAAGTGCTAAAATTCGCGAACTAAACAAGCGCTAACTCCCCTGATACGGATTTTATTTCTGTTTCTGGCGAGGCAGGCTGGCATGGTGCAGCACCAGGATTTGTTAATGATGCTATTAACATGTGATTATCTGTATTAAGTGATATTAGTGTATTTTAAAATAGATTAAAATATTAAAGGAGTTACACAAGTTAAATTATAAGATCACTTATTTTTTCTATTTTTATTTCGTACGATACGGCTTCATGCATTGTAACACCATAAAATTTTGACCTAGTTTAAAAACCACTAAAAATTTAAACTTTTTAAAAACCTTGCATAATAACCCACACATATAGTTAACTAACCTAGTAATTAGTATAAATAGGCCAACATAGAATAAAACCATAGACGAAGGAATGTATGCTTGAGTGTTTGTTTGCTTGCTTGAACATTGGTGGTACACCTTGCATGCATACATGTTTAAATTTGAATTTAAATTGCATTTAAACTAAGTATAGGAAATCTGGGAAAAAGAAAAAGGGTTCCTCCCCTCGGCCCATGGTAGCAGCAGCAGCAGCCCACTCCTCCTCTCCTCCCTCCTCCTCCCCGCACGGGCCGGCCCAGCTCGCGCTCGGCCAAGCGCGCGCCCGCGCCCTCCCTTCTTCCCTCTCCCTCCCGCTGATGACCGGGGCCCGCCTGTCATCATCGTCTCCTACCTCGAGCAGCGACGGGAATCCCGTGTCTCTACCCGAGCTCCTGGCCCCATCGCCATCGCCTCGCCCCGACGGAGTTAAGACATCCAGGATGCTCGCGAGATCTTTTCTCGGTCCCACTCCACTGCTCCGCCTTCTCTCTCTCCCTCACTGCTCCTCCCTCGACACACGGCGGCGAACCCACCTCGTCGTACCACCATGGACGAGCCCGAGCTCCCTCGGCCGCACGCGTGGGCAAGCCCACACTATGGTGACCCGACCTAGCGGATTAGGCACGTGCTGCGCGCCCGGGTGATCTCGACGGGCGAGAAAATATCTCGGCGCCGGAACTAATATGGCCGGCCTATAAATAGGCCCGGCCCTTGCCGCTCCGGCCTCGCCCTCTCCACCGCCAGCTCCGCCATGAGCTGGAACACTCCATCTCCCTGTCCTTTTCCCCTTTCCTCTTCTCCTCCTTGCTCTGTTCTGGTTTCCCTCAAATCGGTAGCCGCCGACGCCACTGGGGCTGCCTCCCTCTTCCTCCTTCTCTGCTGCGCCATTGGCCGATTGGGCTAGCAGGTGAGTCCCTAAGGTTCTCCTCTTCCTTTTGCTTTAGCTGGTTAGTTGATTGAGCCCCTGTGTCATGTTGTCGTCGTGCACCGCGCCCCGTCGAGCCACCATGGCCGCTGGCTAGCTGACGACAAGGCTCGGTTGAGCACTAAAGTACATCGTTGCACTCACCACTCACCCACGAGCACATACACATAGTATTCGCTGCACGGCGCCACTGCGAAAGCTCCGACGAGCCACCACCATCACCTTGGGCACCCGCTGACGCCAGCGAAGGCACCATCAGTTGCGGCGTGGCCTCTCAAGCCTCGTCCACACTTCATCCACCACCACCGAGGCCCGCCGCCGCCGGCGTAACCAACTCCGGCAAGCTCGGTGGCTCCCTCCTCTGTTCCATCACTAGCGTGGCCATCCCCGTCCGTCGCCGTTCCTCTCATCCCCCTCTCTCTCTCTCTATCGTGCGGGACCGGGTGGTAACGGCGCTACAGTCACCATTCCGTCCCGTCCATCCTCTTCCCCTCCCCTTTCTCTCTCTGTCGCATGGGCCTGCGGCCATAACGCCATCGGCGCCGTCACCGCTGACGTGGTGGCCTGGCCCACTTGTCGCACACACACGCCACACACACAACACTGGGTACGCTTAGGAAAATGCTAGGTACACCCGGTTAGTATACATAGAAGGCTATAAATCTACTTTTCTAGCTTAGAAAAATTCCCATAAAATTTGTAAATAAACTAGATGCATTAGGGAGTTTAATCATATAGTTTGCACCCATTTCATGCACCAGAAAATACATGTAAAATTCCATCTAGATAATTAACTATAGAACAAACTTATAAAATGCATAACTTCTGCATCCTAGCTCCTTTTTAGGTGAAACCACTTCTAAAATTCACCTAAAATCTAGCTCTATGCATTCATCCTAGTGCCACCATATTGTTCTATGTTTGCTTTTCCTCTTTTCTTTTGTGTTGGTGGTAGTCTTATTCGATAGCTACGCCGACAGACGACGGTGACTACCGGGAAAGCGAAGACCCTGACTACGAGATCATGCCAGAACAAGTCAACAGCGAAGGCAAGTCCTAACTCCCCTCTCCCTCTACCATCTTGCTTAACTATCTATAAATGAATAACTTGCTTAATTATTATCCTAAAATATGAGCTCGGTTGTTGTGAAATGATTAATGTTGAGTTAAGATAAATGGTTATCTTGTTATTTTATGAGCTTCGTGATATAGATGAACCTAAGCATAATAATTAATGGAACTTAAAACTTGGTAAACCTAAAACTAAACACCGATAGGGGGCGAGCGGGGATAGCTTATGCGGGATAAGTTGTCTTGGTAGGAATGCCTGGATAGGGTTCCCGAGGAGATGCTCGCTTCGGTCACATAA